CCCTGCGCTGCAGCCGCTCACAGCCCGCCTGGGACTGCCTGTGCCTGCTCCAGACAGGTCTGCGTAGGCTGGGAGCGCCTGCAGCAGGGAGCGCCGGCAATGGGGTAGGTGAGAGGCCGCTTTTCCCTGTACTTAGCACCAGCTTCTTCCCTGCTGGCAAGCAGAGGGTCGGGGCTGTGCTCTGCCCCCCACTTGTACCACGGGGCTGGGTGGCACTGGGCGTGAGTGGGCAGAGAGCCAGTGGGAGCACGGGGCCCGCACTGGTGTCCTGGGGCCAGTGCCAGTGGGGCCCAGAGCAGGGTGGCGGGAGTGCAGGGTCCCAGCTGGCAGGGGCTCTGTGGAGCTGGGCCAGCTTCCCCCTCTCCCTGCTGGTGCAGCCCAGTCCAGCTCCATGTACCCCTGGCAGCCTGTGCCCCGCTTTGGGCCCCACCAGTGCTGGCCCTGGGACATTGGTCCCAAGACATTGCGACATTGGTCCCAAGATGGTGACTGGGGGCAGGGCACCTGTCAAAGGGTGGGGCACCTGTCAAGGGGCATGGCTACCCATGCGGCCCTCAGCTGCCTGCCAAAACTGAGTAAGTGGCCCTCCGCCTGAAATAATTGCCGGCCCCTGCTTTAGTAGGTGACTTTTTACTGTTTTTTCTTTAATATGTATTTTCAGTTTTACAGGGGGCCTTACAACATTTTCTGCTATTTTCTTTTCAGCAATTCATTTACTGTAGCTTTTTTTTGTAAGGCTGATTTCAATGTTTCATTTGATTGAATGTGGTTCACTTCTAGCTTCTTTCTGACACGGTTATCTAACATGATGCTGTTTTGTTAGCCTATCCAGATGATGATCTGGGCTCTTTCAGCCGTTTTACCATCCTTTAAGTTTGCGGAGTTTAGAATGGAGCTTGAGCTCTTGCAGATCGTAGTGCTATGATTGTGAGGTTAAGGTCCAGAGGTCCGTTTCTTTTTTGCTCACAGTTTTAAAGGTCCGTTTCTTTTTTTTTTGTGACTTAAAGGACTTACTAATTAATTGGAGATGGGCAGTGAGTGACACTGCATCAGGCCCCAACATAGAATCATCAATAAGATAGGGAGGAAAGGGCTTAATATACCACTCATAAAAACCTTCAGTACCAGGACTATGTGAAGTTGACCAAAGTGGCATGACAAGATGTAATCTTTTTAAATAAAAGGAGGGAAAGTTTTTAGATTCGAGAAAAAACTTCCTAATAGTGAGATCAACTTAAGAACAGAAACAGCAGGAAAGAGGTGTCAGCAAGGTTCTGCCAGTAGAAATATACAAAGCATAGATAACAGGCTCTTCAATGAACTGTAAAGAAACAAACTGCAGTAAGGATTGGAGTTAGGTCTCCTCCTTCTGTAACTTCAATGATTTGTGGAACTGTCATTTCAGAGTTACACATGTGTTGGGGAGAATTGACCCTTTTAGGTTCTGAGGAATTGGAACCCTTTTGCTATGTAAAACAGAAAGACCTTTGATGGATGATTTGTGAACATTTTAAAAAATCCTACATCTATGCCTTTAAAACTGTGAGCAAATGTAGTGTCCTAAATTACCGCACCCAGTTATATTTATAGAGCTAAAAAGGAGCCAGGAAAAAATTGAAGTTTTCAAGGAAGTGTGTATTTAATGACACTTTTTATTCATATTTAGGGAAAATATGATGCAGTTCCTTGGCAAAGTAAAAGATTGTAAAGTTTATGCTGGAAAATGTTCATTTTCTAAAAATTGATTGTAGTTGATTAAAATTGTAAATTTGAGTAGGCTGTGAGCCATTGAGACCATGCCCATGGTTCATCAAACTTTTAATGCTATACAGAGACACTGAGAAAATGAAAAAAGTTAAAGGTTGTATGCTTGTGCTGTTAATCTATCCATAGATTTCTTTAACTCCAGGTAAATTGTCTTCAGTTGTTTAAAAGTAAGCAATGACACGGTATTTAAGTCTGCTGGAGCTACTGCATAGCATTTTGAAGTATGTGTGTATTTTCTCTGGTATCTTCTGGCCACTTGTACTGCTCAGGGTTCTGTCATTCTTTCCATTATAAATCCTTTGGTACAGAGGGTTGGAACACTGACCAATATATTTCTGTTTCTGATTGAAACTTGGCATTTTTAATTTGGTTCACAAGATAATTTTTTTGTTTGAAATTGTAATATTAAACTGTACACAGTAATTTTTTAAAATCTTAGAACGAATAAAAAAGTATCGGAAGTTTACTAAGCTTTTTTTAACCAACAGTATAATTCAAAACTAGTGTTGATGACTCAGTAGCTAGTTTGCAACGATGTCTTCTTGTATTAGATAGATTGTAAAGTTATCAATTAATTGTTTGGCAGCTTGTAAAGTTATTGTTTCCAGTGACTGATGCATTTAATTTTACAAAAGGCTTAAGCTTTCCAGGCAGAAAATATATTGTAATTGTTTTTGTTCCTGTTACTATAAGAACATAAGAAATGGCATGCTGGGTCAGACCAATAGACTGTCTAGCTCAGTAGTCTGGCCTCAACAGTGGCAGGAGTGGATGCTTTAGAAGGAGAGCATACAAGCAGGTAATATCTAAGATGGTTTATCTCCTATCATACCCTTCCTGGCACCCATCATCATTGGTTTAGAGATGTATCTAAAGCTCTTAATGGATTTGTCATCCATGAATTTGATTAGGCCCTTTTCTGAACCTGGCTATACTATCTGCCTCTACAACCTCCTGTGTAATTAGTTATACAACTGTGCGCTGCATAAAAATGTACTTTCTCTTGTTAGTTTTAAACCTACCTTCTGCTAATTTCAGTGGGTGCCTCCTAGTTCTAGTAATCTGGGATTTAGCGAAGAACTTTGTCTGCACGCTTCATGAATTTATATACCTTGATCATATACCTCTTCAGCCCTCTCTTTTCCAAACTGAAGAATCCTAGTCTTTAGTCTGTCCTGGTATGGCCATGGCCCCATACCTCTGATCATTTTGGTTGCCCTTCTCCATACCTCTTCTAATTCTGCTACAGCCTTTTTGAGATGTGGAGAACAAAACTATACACAGTATTCAAGATGTGGGTACACCATGGATTTGTGTAGTGGCATGATGGTATTTGTTTTGTTTTCATTTCCTCTCTTAATGATGCCCAAAATTTTATTGGCTTTTTTGGTTGCTGCTGGACATTGAGTTGATGTTTTTAGAGAACTATTTCCAATGACACCAAGGTCTCCTTCCCAAGTCGTAACAGCTAGTTCATAACCCAGCATTGTGTACATATAATTGAGGTTATTTTTCCTTATGTGCATTACCTTGAATTTGTCAACATTTGAAGTTCATCTGCCACTTTTTTGCCCCCCAAGTTTGGTGAGATCTTTCTGCAGCTCCTCTCTGTCAGCTTCAGATTTGATTATCTGGATCAATTTAGTATTATCTGCAAATTTTGAGATTTTACTATGCTTCCCTATTTCTAGATAATTGATAAAAATGTTGAACAAATCTGGACCTAGGTCAATCTACCATGTTATTGGTTAGTTTCCATATATTTATATAGAGGAGTGCAACTGTCCTTTTATTTTCCATATGTGTGTGGTATGCGCAAGGACTTGCATGGATATTTTAAAAATTGTTTAAATTTAATTTTTCACAACAGACTGTAGTGACTCCTGTAAAATAATGTTTTGGAAAGACCTTGTTTTTAAGACCTTCTTGAAAAGGATACATACTTAACAGGCCTGTGCGAAGCGGCTAGTATTTGCTTTGGATTCAGATTCGGCTGATCTGGGGGACAGTGTTTTGATTCGGGACAGTGATTTGAATCGCCAAATTGATTCATTCAAATCTGATTCAGAGATTTGGCTGCTGCCAAATCTCCAAATCAAACAGGCCTCATCCCCTGAACACTTTCCCCACCTGGCCCCAGCATCCCGGCTCTTGGAGAGGGGGAAAAAAAAAGCCCTGCACTCACCGGTTGCTGCCAGGTTGGTGGGGGGGCAATCCCCACTGGCCCAAGCTGCGTGGGGGGCTCTGCTGCAAGCCCCTAGAAGCCCCAGTGGCCGGTGCCGCAGGCGGGGA